AAAAAAAAAAAAAAAAAAAAATCCAAACATTTTTCTTCATACTACCAATGTTGTGATATATTCTTACTATTAAACATTTGGATATTATGTATAATGTTTTAGATATGATGCTCTTTCTCAAGGGAAGGGGGGATGTTTTGTATATTAACCACACAGAATAAAAAATGTACTCTGTCTTGCTCTTTCGATTAAAATGTTAAAAGCATAGGCTTGGCACCTGTAGCTCAGTGAGTAGGGCGCCGGCCACATACACCAAAGCTGGTAGGTTCGAGCCTAGCCTGGGCCTGCTAAACAACAATGACAACTGCAACTAAAAAATAGTCGGGTGTTTTGGCGGGCACCTGTAGTCCCAGCTACTTGGGAGGCTGAGGCAAGAGAATCACTTGAACCCAAGAGATGGGATTGGAGGTTGCTGTGAGTTGTGACACTATGGCACCCAACTGAGGGCAAAGTGATACTGTCTCAGAAAAAAAAAATGGATAAGCATAAATCTAAGTATACTTACTAGAGCTTATAAACTTTTTTTAGTGTAACTGAAATAATTTTGGCAAAGTTTAATATATTTGCTTGCTTTTACTCTTTATTCTCAGTTTGAACTCCTAAATTTGTTGATATTAGACAGCTTTGGAGATTGCATTTTCTGGGGCTCAGTGAGTTTTCTTTAGATGAGCTTTCTGGATCCTGAGGTCAGTTTATATGCTGCAGATTCAAATGGTTAAATTATTAGAGGTGCCTATTAAATCCTTCCCTTTTTCTTTTCATTTTCTTCTGGATATGGCCAATAGCCATTGAAGGATATGCCTTTTTCTCTTGAAAAGAATCACATTGATCACATAATATGTTCAAGATGTTTTCTCTTTTGTAAAACTCTCAGCTACAGGATCACGGAAAACAGAGCCATCAGAATGACAGTGTGTCAAGAAGGCCAAGAGTAGCTAAAGGTTTAACCAGATCTGGATCCAGTTATTTGTCTGAAAGTGAGTTGAGAGTCGGAACCAAGCAGGAACTTTATGGACATTGCTTTCAGATTAGGAGTTTTCAGATAAGGAAAGAAGAGACATTTACTTTTGTTGTTGGAGGAAGGTGTGTTAGGTGTTGGGAAGATGTGTTTACAACAAAGTCCTGTGAGCTCCTGGGAGGCTGTGTGAGGCACTGCTCAGAAGGATGCTCTCAGGATACCTAGTTTTACCAAAAGATAAAAGTAGCTTTAATAACCTTTTAATGAATCATTCAAATAAGTCATACAGAGGGGGGGAAAGGAGATATACAGGCTTAGCACCCATATCTCAGTGAGTATGGTGCCAGCCACATGCACCGAGGTTGGAGGGTTCGATCCTGGCCAGGGCCTGCTAAATAACAATGACAACGGCAACAACAAGAAAACAAAACAGTCGGGCGTTGTAGTGGGCACCTATAGTCTCAGCTCCTCAGGAGGCAGAGGCAAGAGAATCACTTAAGCCCAAGAGTTGGAGGTTGCTGTGAGCTGTGAGGCCACGGCACTCTACCAAGGGCGACATAGTGAGACTTGGTCTCAAAAAAAAAAAAAGGAGATATGCATAAAAGTGTTTCTAAGGGGCAAGGGCCTTGAAACCTATAAGATTGCTATAGAGTAATCGAAGACTTAGCAGTCTATACAAAGCAGTATGCAACACAACAATACAACCAGGTTTGCCCCTCAAAAATAAAGCCAAATAGGCTCGGTGCCTGTGGCTCAAGTGGCTAAGGCGCCAGCCACATACACCTAAGGTGGCGGGTTCGAATCCCCAGCC